TCCGCCCACAGGGGGCGGGGTTTGAGCAAAAACTCATAAACTCTGTCTCAGTGGAACCAGAGCTTTCACATTTTGTATGAGCACAGTCGACAGGATGGGAACACTCATGGTGGGGCAGGACAAGGCTCCGCCCACAAGGGACGGGTTTGTGTGAACGACTTGAATTTGGACCTATAGCGTTCAAATTTGGTAGGAGTGTCAACGGCACGATGGGAACACATATACTGGGCGGCAGGACCGGACTCCGCCCGCAGTGGGCCAGTGGGCGGGGTTGAGTGGAAATTCACGGCTCCTGTTCCCGTTTACCTAGAGCGCTCAAATTTGATAGGTGTGCAGGCGGCAAGATAGAAACATTTATGGTGGGTCGCAAGAACGGACTCCATCCACATGGGGCGGGTTTGTGCAAAAAATTCAAACATGGACCTAACGCGCTCATGTTCGATAGAAATACAGGAGGCAAGACTGGAGCACCTAAGTCGGGCGGCAGGACTTAACTCCGCTCACAGGAAGCGAGGCGTGGGCAGGAAATGTTTATGTAGACTCGAAGCGAAATTTCGAAACCAAGATTGAATAAGTCGGAAATAAATCGAGTTACTCGAACACACAGAACCTAAGGAGGTTTGTTCATGGCAGACGGGGCGCTGAATTGTGTTGGGTGTTTGTGCTTAGCCGGGAATGAGTAGCTCCTGTTCTCATCTATCGAATTTGAAATTGGTGCAGGCTGGGAGGCCAATTTAACTGGGAAGGACAGTGCACAATGAGTGATTTATTGACGACTACGGTAACATACAATAGAGGACTACGCGAATTCTAATGATGAAAGTGAAGTGAAGGAATAAGGAGTAGTGAAAATGCAGACGGATACGATAAAACACCTACTGTTGATCAACAGCATAACACATACTGCGCATTGCATCACTGTTCAAGCTCATGGTGAGAGCAGAATGCGTAATTGACTTATTTGGTGGCTTGGACACGAGAAATCAGTGTTTTTATTCGTCAAAATGAGCATCAAGCAGCAACCTGCTGTCTTTGAAGAGATAAAAGTATCGCTAGGCATGATCGGATTTAGATTCTTCTCAGATTTCTATCGCCCACTTGAAAACTATTATTGCCGAGTAATGTTAATCAGTTCGAATGAACAAAAAGATTTGGAAATTATTCACAAAAGATTCTATTTAAAGGCTATGCTCTGTTTGGACTATATCTGTAACAACTCACCCTTTCATGTAAGAAGCAATTTTTTCGACATTCTGCAATTGGTAAGAGCATAAGAGCGCTTGTGGTAGGGTTCTACGCATTTTGTCAACATATCTATGAAACCAGCTCCATACGCAAACACCACAGCGAAGTTATATTTCAAATGTTCAGGGAGAAGGAAGAATACAGTGATTTTTTATCAATGCTTCGGCCGCTTGTAAAAATTTTAGAAACTCTTTTACCTCTTTGAAAATTTTAAAAGTCCCTCTTGTGTCTGAATTCAAAGCAGAGCCTGTTTACTTTTAATTAAGGTAGAATCGGAGGGGCGATTCTAGAGGCAAAAATGCTGGAGTGACGGTGACTCGTTGTTGAGATGATTTCTTGACGACGCTAGGTTACATTATCAATATTTCTGTAATGAGTGTTTTCTCCACAGCTTCTTCAAGATTTGCGATGGCTGATCACCGCCTAGCAGTTTTCGTCGCATCTTTTATGATCATTGCTTGAAAAAAGAGTCGTGTGATGCTTGAAATGTCTGGAATCATTGTACTCCGTTGTACTCTTGATTCTTACTATTTCAAAGTCTTACCTACCCATGTACACCTGCGGAAATGCTCGAATCTGCTAACAGTGACGATGCAAAGTCTAGCTTTTTATAACAGACTATTTGCTTGACCGTGTTTCGACAAAACATAATAGCTTCTGTCATCTGACCAAATGCCCGTTTTCCACACCCAACTTTTTTACCTTTTAGGTTGCCTTCATCATACGCGTTGTCCTGTGATCGAATCTCCATGTCAGCTGAATCCTCATTCGCATTAGTGTTGACTTGATAAAATATGTTTTCCTAGGAAATAGAACTACTTACTCACTCCCCTTACTTGAATATTGTGTCAGCACAGCCATGTCCTACATAGAGAGGAAATTATAGATTATGTATTAGAAATATCATATTGAAAATGAACGCATGGTTCATCTCGCGGAGATTGGAGAATGCTGACAGTTTTTCGCGTACCGCTTACTTTGGGTGGCGGGACTTCTTCCCGAATTTCCACGGCCAGTGGCAGTGGTTCCGCGGCGACTGTCATCTCCTTCACCAGGAAATCCAAATCTTCCCCTTCATAACGCGCGGCACGCCGTTCGGAAAGGAGACACCAGACCCGCTCACTTTGAGTAGTTACATATCAGACTCTAAGCACAATCATACAGCTATTGTTCGGTGGTAATACTTATATGAATACTGAACAGCTCTTATGCGCAGTACGGCAAGGTAGTAGCATTATTTTGCCTTGGCTTGATGAGCGCTATAATTACAGAGCCATCTATAGTCAACCCTTTGATTATCTCAGAGGTCATCTACGTGACCTAAGTTATTCCTCGGCCCCCCGCAGCTAATGATGAATAAGAAACCTTGGGACGAGAAGGTGTTCAAAGTGGCCCACCCAATGACCAAGCAACGGCTGTACAATGTATGTTGCAGAAGGTATAAAGAGCTTTGGACCGGCTGCAATTGGAAAAAGGCACGGTAGCGTGTTCGAGTGGAAAGAGACTTCTTTCAACTCAACCGTCACATAGTATCCCTATGCAGTGTTATATTTATTTATTCGACAATGAGCTAATGACTACTTGCTGTTCTCGAAAATCGTTAGCCAAATGGGCTTCTATCTACAACATCTTTAATCATTTCTGTACCTCAGTGAATCCCAATTATTCTCGCTTCCCACAAATATAATACTTGCGGCGGATCATCAGTGCGATAACGCTTATTGGGCTAGTACGGAGCTGCCGTCGACACCCAATATAGGTGCGTTGTCCGTCATCATGATTGATTTCAAGCACGATTTTTCGTTATTATCATACTCCCTCTCCCATCATTTCACTGCATTTTCTTCGCCCTCACATTTTTCCCCATAAGCTAGCATATGTTTTACCGAGGCATGATGATTTTACGATACCATTAATGAGTGAGTGTATGTATTCCACGTGCATATGGCGGCAACCATCGCACGGTGTCAGCGCAGTTTGGAACTTGCCTTCTGTTAAACTCGTTGCCGACAGTCTCTCTTGTCACAGTCCAACGCATTGCCATATATAGGGTCATACATGAAATTGCGCTATTGCGGAGAGTGATGACGTCACTGAGAGGGGAACAGAGGATCGAGTAAAGATACGTGGTAGAGTACATAAGTAGGACGACAAGTTTCAATGCGCAGCGCCAGCCTCGACTACTCAAGTCCTTTCTCCACGACTGCAATTTGTAGAGGGTTCTAGAGAGAATCTTGGAGGTGTGAAATTGCTGAACGATGCAGCGGCTCATACAAACTGTAGGAAATACTTGTGGCTGTGACAACGGCGGCGCCGACGTCGCCGCTGCCACTACCGCCGTCATCACCGCCGCCGACGTCGCACCCGGTTTAGCCGCCCTACCTATTAGCAGCCGCCAAACTCGACACTAGTTCCACGCTTCACCACTACCTGCGGTAACATGTTTAGAAATTAGAGCTGTAACATCTCACCCGATAGACTCGATTTCAATCGCATTTTTCATTCTTCACTGTTTTCTTTTCTTCGTGGGTAGTCCAGTCACACCAAGGTCGATACATAGTTAACACACCTTAGTTATCATTTGCAAAGTTGATGTAAGACTAACGTAATATGTTAACAATAAAAAGTTGCCGCGGTTACTTGTTAACCGCTAGCATACAAGTTAGCAGTTCGTTAGCAAATGCATATGTATTTTTTTGTATTTCAATTCGAAAACTAGTTGAAAATTCGTGAAGACATTTTCAAGCGATTGCTGTTCTTTTATACAATGAAAGTTTTTTTGTATGAATGTGGTATCGAGTTGATACATATTTGACGAATGTTTCGGTTGATATGTATGACAGGCTGTCTAGTAACATGGATGACTAATTAATTAATGCTACCTCGATTTCAGGTGTGCCAATCTCTAGTTAGAGCGTTTATTTCTCTTTATTGTGTGCTGTGATTAGAACTTTAAGCAAGTAGTACTTTACCCAACAATAGAAGACTATGGTAGGAAGTGAGGTGACAACTCGACCAAGGCTCGAAGAGCAGTGTCCCGTCTGTGGAGATCGTGTGTCCGGTTATCACTACGGGCTGTTAACTTGCGAGAGTTGCAAGGTAAGTTAATTGCATGTTTTCTTCCTATTCTGAAACCAGGTTTTCTGTTCCAGGGATTTTTCAAGCGTACGGTGCAGAATAAGAAGGTCCGTTAAACATGCTTTCACCTTCACAGGGTTAAATTTTGTCTGAAAATTCTGAAGTGAAGAGAACCTGCTTCAGAGTTATCAATGCGCAGCGTCTTCAAATTGCCCAGTAGACAAAGCCGGTCGTAAACGTTGTCCACGGTGCCGTTTTGCAAAATGTCTACAGCAGGGCATGAAAATCGAAGGTATTTGATAGCCTTGATTGTGTATAAACAGAGTTGCTTATTTCTTCTTTGCCTTGTTTTCAAGCAAAAGCTAAAATCTCTGTCGAGCTAGTTTTTTGATGGTGTCTTCCCCTAAAATATCCCTATACCTTTCTCAGTGAGTGCTATCCGATTCTTTCTGCGACTCACCACTTCTTTTCTCTATCTATTAGAGATAGTTTTTTTTTGCTGGATATAGCACTTCAACGCAAGTGGCTTTCTATTCATCTAGAGTTTTATGGATGTGTTGTGACTGAGGCTTTTAAGCAGCTCAATGCATCGCGATCTAGCTTTTGTTTAAGCTCAGCCGGCACCCGATTTTTGTCCTCTTACCGTACTTTCCGTCATCGTCTTCTCCGTCTCCACGCACTTCTTCATATCTCTTTTTGCTGCGCTGCGGCAGCATGCACGAAAAAAAAATCCGGTTTCGCCATTCCCTTGTCTCTCATTTTCTTCGATTTTATGCGGCTTCTACGTGGATGGGGTAGAAAGTTCAAAGAGATGTGATTGTCCCACATTAACACCATCCTGTGCGGTCAAAATTCACGTAGTTTTGCCCTATAAGTCGTCATTGCTAGAGTCGCAGGACCCTTCAAAAAAAAACCGGTTATCGGGGGCATCGATCGATACACCGATTGGTTTGGATGTAGGTGTGGTGGTGTACGGGGAAGGAGGGGAGGCGAGTGGCGATCGACAGTCCACGTTATCGATGGCCGTGCTCGCGAAAGAGATAGATGGCAAGACGTTTGTTCACATAGATTCGTCTCTAAGCTGTGCCGCGTTGAGGAATGACTGAAACAATTCCGGTAACTGCCGTAACTCGCTCGCGGCTATTCAGCTCGAACCAAAAGTCGTTGAACGACTATGGAAAACGGCAACGATTAGGTAGTGCCAGTATTGCGCGAAGTGATTAGGTATTTGTGAAGAACTCTGTGCGCAACCATTGGCAAAAGGTGTGCGCACATGCTCTGAACCTTCCTGTACAATCGCCACCGAAGAACTAAGGGATTGTCAAAAGTTGGAAGCTAATATTTATCATAATTATTGTCTCATCACTGATGCCCTTAATCACATGCACGAAGGCAGTGAAAGTAAGAGGCATGGTTTTTATAGGTTTTAGGTTAGGTTTCAAAGGGAGGGATGCTGAGATTGTTGAAAGCTCTGGAACATCTTTTAGAGTAGAGAAAAGCTGGTTTGCTTGTAATTACAACGTAACCTCTGCTTACAGCGATTTGTCTGGTTTCCTGGTACTGTTTCTTCAGTTTATGTAGTCATAGTTGGGACGCAGCATAGTTAAAAAAAAACTATCAATAAATAGGACAAATGTCATGCTCATGGCTCATCTTGATTGAGGATGTAATTCGTTGGCTTAGAAATACAGGTTGAGCAACGTTTATTGGGCAAGTTTGCCGTAGTCGAGGGTAAATTGCCTAGAGATGGGCCACCATCTCTCTACCAATATGGCGCTAGCACGTTCAAGTGATCAAGGAGTGGGTTAATCGTTAGATTTTGATCGCTCTGTGAATTCTCTCCTTGGCTGATGAGATAGCAGACAGGATAATCCGGGCTGGCATTTGAAACATCGTGGAGCTTTTCGAAGCGATACCGGTCTACCTTCTTACGTTGATGTGATTAGTTCAAGCAACGCTTTCTAAATTCATCATGTTTTTTTCCAAATTCTCGCTTTTCCTTTACTTATACTCCTGCTGTGTAACAGGACTGTACTTTTGAACTGCTTGTTTTTTTGTTGTTCAAGGCGTAGTTGTTTAATTAATTTCAGCGAAAAGTTCGATTTAGGCCGCTATTTACAGTCACTTCGTAGGGTGGGTCAAATAACTACGAAATTAAACCCTCGATAAGGTTCATACGCCTGTATAAAATATATACATCTAAAATGAAATAATCCAATATCTGAAGGGATGATAAAGCACCTATTCGGTTTATAGCCTCAGCGGAGTGGAAGTCGAAATTGGAATCACCAAAAAGACTATTATCGCATTAATCCAGGTTTAATAACCGAGCAGAATGATACCCTTCAGTTGATCATTTGAGTAAGAGTCTTTAGGGAAAGCAGAGGTGATATTTGATAATTTCACTTTCATTCAATTATACCGGCGTAGGAGTAACTTCTAAAACTTGTAGACTTCACCATTACCACACAATAATATTTTCATCAGAAATTCTTACTAACAATGAGTTAATGCTGTGTCTATTGGAATGCTTAGCTCGAGCCAAGGCTACAGAAGCAGTGGGGGGGGGGGGGGGGGGGGGGGGGGGGGGGG